TCAATAGGGCTACTAAACCTACATGAAATATATCAATTCTAGAAAATTTTCAAGTGTCAAAACTGACACAGGAAACAATAGAGAATTTGAATAAGCCAGTAAGCATTCAAGAAATTAAAATGTTAGTAAAAGACTTCCTCTTCCCAAAAACCTTCTTACCGAAGTTGTTCTGGAAAACAGAAGAAGAGTGAAAACTGTCAGCACATTTTACGAGGGCAGGGTCGTCTTGATTCCAACCAGAGAAAGGATAATACAAGATAAGAAAAATTATAGGCACATTTTACTTATAAATGCAGATGCAAAACTCCTAAATAAAGTGCTAGCTAACTAGAGACAATAGTGTATTTAAAAAATACTGTTCAACACCACGCGTGCACCCTAATGTCAACTATGGACTTTGGGTGATAATGACGAGTCAGTGCAGATTCATCAGTTGTAACAAACGTCCCTCTCCAGTGTTGATAACAGGGGAAGCTGTCGGGGAGGGAGGGACCAGGGTATACAGGAAATCTCTGTACCCTCCGCTGTTTTGCCATGAACTTAAAATTGCAGTTTAAAAAAAATTTTTAATGAAATTTTTAAAATACATGGTTATTCATGGGTCTATGTCCCAGGAATGCAGGAAGGGAGGATTGGGGACCACGCCCACCCCAGCTAACCCGACAGAAACGTGATGGTGTTCCAGCAGATGGCAGCGGAGAGTCTGAAGCCAGCGAAATCAGTATATTATGACAAAGGGAAGTCCAGTATCTTTGAAGAAGTGGCACATTTTAATCTGCACCCACAGGAAGATGCCAGGAGGACAGCGGTCTAGCAAGAAGAGTTCAACCTCAGAAAACCTCATTTATAGAGTAAAGGAGGGGAAAATATCACATCTCAATGTAGAAAAAGACACTGAATAAAGTTCAAAAGCCTATTTATAATTTTTTAAAAAGCAGCTAGAAAACTAGCAATAGACTATAATTTCCACAATGTAATAAGCTTTATGTACCAAAAACCTACAGCAAACATTACACTCAACAGAGAAATTTGAAACACCTTCCCTTTAACATAGGAACAAGGCACGGATGCCCACTTTCATCACTTGTGTTTAACTCGGGAGTAGAGGTGCTGGCCAATGCTGTAAGGAAAGAAAAAGAAATAAAAGCAGTTGGGACTGGAAAGGAAGAGGAACAACTGTCATTATTTGTAAAAATAACCAAACTAGAGAATATAATTTTTAAATACAGGGCACCACTCATGATAGAAACCAAAACTGCAGAGTATTTATGAATTAGCCAGTGCTATCCGAGACCTCTATGGAGAACATGTAAGATTCTAACGAAGGTCATGGATGATCTGAAACAGAGAGAGAGAAGGCCATGCTCTTGAATGGATGAGTTGATGGTGTAAAGCTATTGTACATCCCAACCAAAATTCTAGGGTTTGGGTGGTGGTGGTGGCAGTGGTTGTGGTGGCTGTGACCTGGTAAACCTGTTCTGCAATTTCCCTGCAACAATCAGATCTGCAAAGAGAATTGTAACAGAAGAGTGAAGGGGGCGTGTTGCCCCCATAGATATTAAGACATCCCAGAGCCCCAGCTGAGCACGGTGTGGAGTTGGCAGAGAGAAGGACGGAGGTGACGAGGGTGCTCGGGGAGGCGTCGGACACCCAGGCCCTGGGGAGCAGGGGCAGAGCCGTGCACGTGCATGAAGCGCAGGGCTTGTGCCTGGCTGGTCCTAAGCAGAGAGATGCTGCCGGCTTCCTCCTGCCCCGAGGGGCGAAGCTGTGACCTACTAGACACACAGAGCTGATTACCGTTGTGACCAAGGGATTCTTAAGCAAAATACCAAAAGCACAGTTATAAGGCAGGGGGGTTGTGTTTGGTAGATTGAAAGGAGGGTCTCTGGTCGGCACAGGGCACCGCAGGTGTCCTTCCAACCAGCATCAGACTGATGGATGGAAAAGGGGAGATTCCCCCAGAACAGGAGAGCGGGTGACAGGTGGACATGGGAGGGGCGGGGAGGGGAAGGAAAGGCTAGGGAGGGAAGCCCCGAGCCAGGGAAACACGAACTCAAACGCTGATGTCACCTGGCCTGTCACTCCGACAACAGGGCCAATGCTGAGCGCAGGGGTTGTGGAGGGGGGACCCTGCGCAGTGGGGTCAGGAGGCGTCCTGGGGCGGCGCTGGGGCCGCTGGCCACAGCTCCGAGGGGAGGCCGGTGAGGTGGGGGGCGACCCCCGACCAGGCCCGCCCCAAGAGGCCGGACCGAGGGACCCGACAGACGTGTGAGCCGCAGACGGTGACGAGTGTGCGATGCTGCCTTAAGAGCCCTCCCCGAGCGAGGTCCCCAAGGCCACGACGTGGGCGGGAGCGGCCCCAGGCTCGGCGCCCCGCGCCCCGCACAGCCGGTTGTCAAGGTTACGCCGGCGCTGCCCCCCGGCCTGCGATGACCCGGGACCCCCAGCTTCTTCCCGGGGCCTCCACCGGGCACAGCAGCCCCGGCTGGGCCACCACCCCCGCCCCCACCCGGAGCCCAGCCTCCGCCCCTAACGCGCCGCGACCCTCGCTAAGGTGTCCTCAGGCGACAGGACAACATCCCGGCTCAGCTGTGGCAGGCTCTGGGGCGCTCTGAGGTCCGAAGAGCCTAGAAAACGAGGCTTGAAGCCGGGGCCCGGCGACCCTTCCTTAAGGACGGAAGGTGGATAGTTTCGGCTTCGCAGGCCTCACGGTCTCTGTCCAGGACAGCGCGACAGCGACACAGACGACACGCGAACGAGGCAGGGCTGCGTGCCGATAAAGCGGCACTTACGACCGAGAGGTGGCGTTGCAGACGTTTTACGTGCCACCAAACATTGTCCTTTTGACTTTTTCCCACCCACTTAAAACCGTGAAAGCCGTTCTGGGCTGCAGCCGCAGGGCCGCGGTGGCAGCCGACGCCGGCGACGCTCCGGCACCTGCGGGCGCAGCGCCCCAAACACGCGCGCTGCGGGGCCCCGAGCCCGGCTCCCCC